TGGATTATGCAGGTCCTATTCTGTTCCTCAACAAAGATAAACATAACAAAACTAGAGAAGCATCCTACTCGTCTTGAAGACTCCACCAAAAGATTCTTTCTTCTAATCAGCAGCCCAAGTCCAAACTTGTAATGTTTCAGTACGTTGATTAATATGCTTCAAGGTGTAACACAGCTCAGACAACCTAACTCAGTTACTTCTACTAGACAGTGAGATGCTGGCAATGCAGGATTACAATAAATGCATGTTTTTGCACCAATCAAAAAAAACCTCAAACCAAAATAAACACAGAAAGCAAAACCAAAAGCATTCAGTTGTCATAAGAATCCTTTCAAAAAGACAATCAAAAGGCAAAAATATAAGAATGTTTTAGTATTACAGGCTATGTTTCTTTCTTCCACCTAAAAATCACACAAACACTTCAAAAGAAATTTAAACTGAACTGCACACCTATAAATTAATTCTTTGCACAGTAATACTTTGTTATTGTTGTATTTGCAAGTGATGTGACAGAAGCAAAGGCAGAAAAAAGTTTATCACATACTGTTCTCTCAAAAACTTAACCTGCATTATTTCTATAAGAATCTTACCTTTCAATGGCCAATTCTTTATTTGAGAGTTGCTGAACTGTAATCACCACTTTCTTCTCAACTCCTTGTTTAAGCTTGAAATATAATTTCTCTCTGTCCTTCGGTACAGGACTAAAAGAACAGAGTTTCTTTAGCACAGGTACAGAACATTAACCGTTAAATACAGAAAAGGTAGTCGCTGCCCACTTACACTGTTAATGGCTCAACTCATTTGAGAGACTTTCTCTTATTTTATTTATAAGTTAATAAACCAGCAGTGAAGAAAAAAACAGACTACAGGCTCATACTTAGTATGCTGTCTGGGGGGCTTAATCGACAAACTTATCCAAAGTTGCACGGGGTATTTCGGTTTTAAAATGATAGAAAATATGTTATACACTGGCTACGAAGCGGAAAAGAAATAGTGCACCTTCATAGAATTAACTCTTATTATCAAGTCTCTCATTCAAAAAAATCTTGTAATTAACTGTTATGTAAAAATTACTTTGTTTCCCTGTAATGCTTAGAGAGACTTTTATTTTCCATATCTTCAATAACTTTGGAATACATTATTTTAAAAACAAAAAAAATCTCAAAAGAGGGACCACTAGACTGTATTTACTCAAGAAAATTCCTTTGACTGCTGTTTAACACACTTCCAACTATCCTTTTCATTTACACAAGCCTACCTTGAGTATCCTACCAGAAATTATGTAAAAAGAAACTGACTTGAAAGGTATTCTGATTTCTAGTATTTTTATACAAAAGACACAGAGGAGAAAGCTGTAAAAGCAAAGCAACAGCTTCCTTTTTATAGCAAGTCTATTTAGGAGAAGAGGCCAAATCAGTTTCAGTGCAACATAGTAGCTGCACCTTCTGCAAGTAGCCATGTGCTTTTTTCCAAGAGATTTCTACTTTCCCATTCCATTCAGATTACCTAAAATTTCCTTTTCCATCATCTTCTTTGACTTCTAAGGAAACACTGAAAGTGTACACATCACTGTCTGGAGTAGGAAGAACAAAATCCTTAACATGATCAGATGCTTGTTTGGAAGAACGTTTAAATGCTGTTGAGAAACTATATAAAATTCGGCTGACCTGTAGAAAAGCAGAAGAACTAATAGCTTTATCAGAAATAAAAGAGCATTTTTAACAGGGTATTGTGATGTGGTTTTGAAGGTCATAAAATAACTGTGACTTGCCTCACACTGAACACAAAGCATGCCTCATTCAACACAAAACATCCAGATCGGGTGGTTAATAACCAAGCCAATTCAGTAACAACATCTCCTACTTCCATTCATGTCACATTCACTGCTCAGGTAACACTCACTAAGTTAATATATATTACTAGATTAGGAATGAAGCTCATTAGAGAGTCTGAATAATGTACTTTTCAGGCTGTGTATTTAACAACATAATTTTCAGCTTGCTTTTGCAGATGCCAAAAAAAGAAGGGAGATAACTTCTTTATTAACCTCTATTTTTCCACCCTAGAAAAATCCTCGTCTCTCAAACTATCACGTAGCTCTTCCTAAAAATATCTAGGGCAGAGTACTGTAAAATGATCCTTTGTACATCATGACATCTACACTGCAGTCTAAAATCTACCCAACGGAGGATGGAAAAACAGAATACTTGTACCAAACCTTAGGCTTCTTAAATCTTCCCATCATAGTGCACTTTGGAATATTATTGAAATATTAAAAGAAAACGAAGAAAACAGAATTATATTAATACTCATGTAGGACTAGCTACATATTCTGTGAAACTCATTATGAATGTGTTACCATATTTTTCAAGGCAGTATATATCATTTCCACATCTGGAACAACTTCGTAAAATAACACTTTTTACTCGTCACTGTATGACATTTAATACTTACTGCCTCTTTAATCTCACAGGAGAAAACATGAATCTGGAACTCTTCTGTTCCACAGCTGCTTTCTGTGAACGCAAAACAGTCACTCTCTGAAGTTCCATTTTGTCCACGCACACAAAACAACACCTTGTAAATTGGAAAAGAGGCTATCTCCACATTGCTCGACTGATCTATTATTCTGTCAAGAAAAGGAACAGAGAAGATCAAAAGAAAAAGGTCAGTTAAACAGGCCTATCTAAAAGGTTTTTCTGCAATTAGATAAACAAGTATGTCAACCATAATTACTACCAAATTCAAGTACACAAGATGGGCAGTCAAGAGAAATGCCAGGCTTTCCAGATTTAAGATGTAAATGCTCCTGGTTGTAACTTGGGCTTAATCTCTTTTGTAGTCCAAAATACAGACAAATACAGTATCCCCACATCATGCAATAACAATGACCATCAACGCTCTGCAGTCGTTCATGAAAAACACAAGAGTAGTGTAGAAACCACAGCAACAACAAAAATGGAATTTGCATACAAAGATCAAAGAAAATTCAACACTATAAAAGAACTGAAATATCTGTTTAAGAAAACACTGAGAAAACATTATTTATTCATAACGTACAGGACTTACACAGCTTAGCAAATGCTTGCTGCCATGTTCAAGTGAATTAGTGACAGATATAAGGGCAGATTTAACTTCCTCTCAAACCCAGAACCCAAAGAGTATTTCAGAAACTTTAAAGAAAACAAGAGTGGCAGACTCAGAACACACTACTACTAGGTAGTAAGTTTTAAAGAATAATAGTTAGAGCTACACAGCTCTCCTCTGTCTTTTCGTTCCTTGTCAGCACATGCACAGTCACATCAAGGGTGAATAAACCTTAGTTACCTGGAATAGAATCCCCAGTCTGTAACAGTACAGGACTAATGTTCTAAAGGCAAGAAGACCCTGGAGAGGATTCAGCATACTGTCATACTGGTGGGACATGTCAAATGGAACCCCACACGGCACGGGCTCAGATAGCAGG